GGGAAGGGCTTCCTCCTGTACTTGCCACGGCACCCTTTCACTAGGGCTTATTTTCAGGGGAGGGCATATATTTACACCCACCTCAAAAACCAGGCCTGGGCTTATTAGCAGGACATGTTGTATTTTCGGGAAAACATGGTACATGCCTCGCAAGCCTGCTGTAGTAATCTGAGATCTGACTCTAGTCAAAGGTACGTGTGGAATTCTCTCCCCCACCTTTCCTCCAATGTTAACTTGATAACAGACATGGAAATGCTTTACGAGTTGACAAAAGAAAAATCCTCTGTCCACTCCACAAGTCCTCACATGCTCTGAACAAGTGCAGAGAATTCGGAAAGTCCCTGGACGAAAGAAAGGCTTTGATCAGGAACTACAAGGTCTGCTACAAGTGCTGTGAGTCTACGGAATACAAGGGCAAAGCTTGCACGGCTAAGGTGTAATGCCACCTATACAAAAGTGATAAACACCTGGGCGCCCTGCATCCAGACTCTGAGTCGCCACAACAGGCAGCTCCTACCCCTCCTCCAACCAAGGTGTCTCAGCATGGCACCAAATCACACCCAGAAGCGGCCGCAAGTGTCAACTGCATATCAATATGCAGTGACTCACCATCCCCTCGCTCATGCCATCAGATCTGCTTACCATATTTTTCAGAGTATAAGATGCACTGGAGTATAAGAGGCACCAAGATTTTGAAGAGGCAAATTTAAAAAAAAGTTTTTGCACTCTGCAGACCTCCCAAAAATGGCCCGTTTTTCACAAAAACAGGCCCATTTTTTTTTCAAAAAAATGGCAAGCATAACCTTTAGGAGCCTTATCGAGTGCTCCTGGGGGCTGGGGGGGGGCGCAAAATTGAGGAAAAAACAGCCAGTTTTTCACTCATTTCTGCCCTCCCCAGACCCCAGGAGCACTCTATAAGCCTCCTAAAGGCTCTACATGGCGATTTTGGTGAAGGGGGCAGGGTTTCAGGAGGCAACAAATGCTGTATTCAGTGTATAAGATGCACCCAGATTTTCAGCCTCTTTTGAGGGAAAAAGGTGCTTCTTATACTACAAAAAATATGGTAGCTAAAGTCTACCCCACTGGACAACCAGAAGAAGCCGTGAAGATGTATGTAATAGTGGATGCATAAACCAATCACTCATTAGCCAGGTCAGTAGTCTTCTATCTCTTTGAGGTCCGAAGTGAGGAAACGCACTTCACGATAACAACGTGCACTGGGCCCTAGCGAATGGTGGGGAGGAAAGTTAATGGACTCTACATAGAGTCATTAGATGGGAGTTCACAGTTCATACTGCCGCCATTGTTAGAATGGGACGCCTTACCAGATAACCAGTGTCAGATTTCAACGCCAGAGGTAGCAAGCAACATACCTCACCTGAGGCACAGGGCTGATCACTTTCCCACTCTGGACGCAGAAGCCAAGATCCTGATCTTGTTGGGAGTGGATGCCCCTGATGCTCTCACCTGCCATGGAATGGTCAGAGTCCCAATAGGCTCCCCAATTGCCCTCAAGACAAAACTTGGATGGGTCATCTCAGGAATAGTTTGTGTCAACCGGCTGCAGGCCCCAACCCAGGTGAATGCTTTTGCAACGTCCATTCTCAATAATGGGAGAGCATTTCATTTGAAATCATGTCAGGTTGTGACAATCAACCCATTTTAGGAGCAACCATGTTCCAGACCAGCAAAGATGACAATGACTTGGCCTTGTCGATAGACAATAAAGAATTTCTGCAGCTCATGAACAAGGAACTTCAGCAGGATGACACTCAGTACTTGGTTTGGGCCCCTTTTGCAGCAATTACTGCCTCAATGCGGCGTGGCATGGNACCAACTTTAAAGTGAATGGGGATGTTTGTGACTAAATGGGACAGAGAACATAGAGGGATGCAAGGGAACATGGAGGTAATCTAGTCCAACCCCTCCCCAAGGCAGGAGTCCTTCCTTCTCTTTGAGAGCTGTCAGTGGCAGACCTGAGGGAAATGGTGTGTGTGTGTGTGTATGAGAGAGAGAGAGAAAGAAAGTTGGAGAGAGAGAGATAGGAAGGAAGGAAGGAAGGAAGGAAGGAAGGAAGGAAGGAAGGAAAAGAAAATAAGTGGGGGAGAGAGAGGAAGGAAGGAGAGAAGGAAGGAAGGAAGGAAAAGAAAGAAAATAAGTGGGGGAGAGCGACACAAGAAGGAAGGGAGGGAGGGAGGGAGGAAGGAATAAAGAAAGAGAACTTATGATCACAATTGAGCCCAAAATTTTGGTTGCTAAGCAAGAGCGTTTTTAAGTGAGTTTCACCACATTTTCCAACTTGGCCACACGACCGCCAACCCATTCCCACCTGGTCACATGACTGCCAAGCCACTCCCACAAAACAGGCCACACCTACAGAATATGTTCTAAAAAAATTTGAGGCCCACCACTGTGGAAGTGGTGGCGCTTGTGGTGATGGTGATGGTTTTGGCTCAGCTGATTGTTCCTGTCTTGGTTTCTTGGTGAAGAAAGCAGTCATACTCTGTTGCCTCTTCATCCTGTTAAATAATACTACTGCAAAAGAAATAAAACAATATTGTGCTTTGGACTTGGTTGTGGTTGTAAGCTGAGGACTAAAGGTAACAGAAGGGATCTGTTTTTTCACCCATCAATATACAGTATTTTCAGGATGCCCCTCAACAAACAGGAAAGATATAGTTTTCCATCTAAGAAGTTAGATCAAGAAGAATGAATTTCATAGGTAGATTCACAGAGCAATACTGAATTCTTTTTCTGAAATTTATTCCTCGGTTCAAAAAACAGGAATATATGTATTAGGTCCAGTACTTAGGTCACTACAAGTAGCTATTCAAGAGTTAGTGGTGTCATGGTTAGATACAATGGTAAAGAAACATATGGATTTAAAACCAGAAATGTTTTGTTGGGTATTTCAAAGGGAATACATATTTAATTTGACACATGTTAACAGCTGCTAGAATTGTGTTTGCACAACAGTGGAAAAACAAAGATATGAAAATGAATAAATATTAGAATGTGCAGGAATGAATAAATTGACAAGAAGGCTTCAAATACTTTTTAACATGGGATTTGTTTTATCAATGGCTAACTAACAAAAAACAGAAGTTAGAAATCTAGAAGTATAAAAGAAAACACCAATGATATAAGGAAGATTCACTAAAAGGGGTAAGCAAACATTATTAGCATTTGATCAGTATTAATGTGCAGATAACTGCAGGACATTTCTCCACCCCGCGCCCCCAACTTGAACAGTGCCAGGAAAACAGCACAGGCTAGCACCTGTGGGCTTCAAGACCTACGTGAGCATGGGAATGGGTGTGTGTGTGTGCAGGAAGCAAAGCTGCCGTCAAGCACTGGTGGGCTTTGCAACTGACGTGACCATGGTGGGATAGGCTTACTTACCTTTAGGCAGGAGGCGGCAGTTCCGTTGGGGTGCAGGCCCCGCGGAAGGGAAGTCAGCAAGCGAGGTCAGTCAGGTCTCTCTCAGGTGGTTACGACAATGCAAGGCCAGTAGGAGTAGGTGGGCTGCATGGTGACTGCTGTATATATAGGGCTGGGATGGGCAGGGCAAGCGAGTGAGCCCCGACCAGGTGGGCAGTGCAAGTGATCGGGGACAGGCCAGGGGACCGGTTCGGGAGCGTGGCCAACCAGCCACTGCCACCAGTTCTCCAACATCGGTGTCAACCTCTACCTTGCATGCTTGCTATTAGCTGCCATAGTAACAGGGAGGGTGGGGGCTCATGGTATTTGGGAGGGGGAAAGTGCTGGTGGAGATATCTCAAGAAGGGAGTTTTGTTCTCACCATCTTCTGTGCATGCTGATGGTTAATGTTTGGGTTTGGTCAAGGCCAACTGTCTCTGCATACCAACTGAATGAGGCCACTTGAAGATGTGCCCCACATGACACCTTTTGGAGTTGGAGATTGGACATTGGGTTGGGGTAACTGGGGGCAGGGATTTGGGTAAACGTTTTATATGTACAAGTTCACACTTTTTTGCTTCAGATCTTGCTGCACTTTCGCTGTTTTCATTGCATGTCCAGTAAAAGTACCTTTTCTATAATTAAATGGAGTTGGGGGTTTTCTTTCTTGGATATTGAATGAGGCACGCCTGACATTAAGCAAGATCTCTTCACAACCATCCCAGAGTTAAAGCTTCTGTGTGGGTTGCACCGACCATGTCTAACACCTGCAGCGACCAGGAGGACCTGGGGGCTGCTGGATGCTCTCCTCCCCTGGAAACGTAGTGGATGGCTGAACTGAAAATTGAGGAGAAATCGGTCCAACCCAGATGGTCGCTGGGAGTGGGACAGATGGAGATTCATCCAGGAGTTACAGCCACCCAGCACCGGCAACCAGAGGCTGCCTGGCAGGAAGCCGAAAAAGAGGATCTTATGATGTCCCATGCTCTACAAGTTCTGCAGGAGACCTGGGGAAATAGGAGAATGCATGAAAGTCACACCGGGCCAGAGATTGGAAGAGCTGAGCAGGACACAGCAGCTCAGGCACCCCCAGGGGGGGGGGGAGCCCCGTGAAGGCATCGAATTCCAAAGATTCCTCCTCTAGGAGTGAAGTATGGAGGAGATCCCAAAGCACTGGGATTTTTTTGGCTCAAGTTTGGAATTACATGTAGGAGTATGGGAAAGATTTCCCATCAGAGGCTGCCAAAGTGAGAAGTGTTACTATGGTGTTGGAAGGTACCACAGCTGACTGGATGGTGGCTCTTCATAACAATGATTCCCCACAGCTGAGGGATTACAATGGGTTTATGATGGCACTGAGAGCATGCTTTGAAGATCCCCTTGCAAATCAGAATAATTGGGCCGACCTCCTGCCTTCTGCAGAGGTCGGGTATAATTCCGTACATAGCGGTACAGGATTGACCCCTTTCAAAGTAGTGTTTGGCCAGGATTTTGTGCCTATCCCTGAATTACCCCAGGAGAAACCACAAAACCAATCCTTGTCCGAGTGGATTAATCAGCTACAAGTTATCTGGCCTGTGACTCATAAATCATTAGACGAAGCTCACCAAGCACATAAAAAACAAGCTGATTAAAAAAGTGTGAAGCCAAAAGAATACCAGGTTGGGGATAGGGTTTTCCTGTCCACTAAGTATCTTCAGACTACCCAAAAATCGAAGAAACTTGGTCCTAAATACATGGGTTCTTTCTCTATTGTCTGAATTGTTAACCCGGTAATGGTAACATAGAGGGAAAATACAGTATTTAGTGGCCTGGAAACATTTCCCTTCTTCCCACTCTGAGTGGGTGAATAAGTCCGATATCAGGACCCCTAAACTCTTGCAGGAGTTTCATTCTAAATACCCTGATAAACCCTAACTGCGTTGTAAAAATGTTTTTTTTTCTTTTTGCAATTAAAATATTTATTGAACATTTTTTTAAAAAAAT